TGAGAATCATTTTTGGGATTGTTAGCATCTTGCTCTTCCACATTTGTAAAGCAGCCTGCATCTTCTTCCTGTTTTGTGGCACAGGCTTGATCTGCTTCCTGCTGATTTGTAGTCTTAGCACATTCCTGAGCAAGAGACTGAGGACACTGTGGTGGTGTGGAAACTACTGCTGTGTTATACTCTTCAGCATCCTGAAGTTAAAGAAAAGACAAAGAGAATCAAGCAGCTTGTCTTAATGATATGTGAATGTAGGTTCTGTTTCAATCACCTAAAGTACCTGTTGATGTGGAGCCTGAACGTCATCGGTTAGAGAAATGTCATCACTTGGACATTCCCTCTTTCTAGACCTGAGTGACCGAGCCTGGGGTGGAGCTAAGTCTTCTTAAAACAAAGCAATCCGTTCAATTAATCAAATACTGTGGAGAAGAATCACTACATATACTCACCATTAACATTTAGTTGGTGCTATGTCAAAGAGGGGAGTCAAACCCTTTTTAGTTCTTAAGTCACGTACAGCAAGTTTAATCTCAAGTAGGCCAGACAAGTAAAATTACTATATAATACCTTATATATATTTATGTATTATTAGTAGGATTATTCCAAAATGTTTTTCCTTTATTACTATTTATCTTGTGTTAGCCTTCTGTAACAGGAGTTACAAAATAGTTATACAAAGAAATGGCTTGTTGTTTTGTGACTCTGCATTATTGTACCTAATCAGTAATAATCGATCCAGTCCTTTTACTCCACATAAAATATCATTATAGATGATGTTATATTTCCTGCTTCCCTCTTAGCCAGAAATCTCTTGAAAAAAAATTAATGTCAATGAGAGTTTTGTCTATAAATAATAATAAATAAAGGATATATAAAAGTCACTTTGCCAAAACCTGATTGCTACTTTGTGGCAGAAATGTTCTTTCTGGACAAAAATGACTTTTTTATCATTCATCAGAGATATGTTGAGATATGTTTGGTAGATTATAGGCCAACAAGTCATTTACAACAGTTTAAATACTGGTAATCACTCTCTGGCATAAGACAGGAGTCACAGGACACAGCACAACACAACACACTCCTTTAAATGGACTGAAATCAAATTCGTAACTTTTTTCAAAATCAACTTATTTTAAACCATAATTAATCTTATAATTATTTATATTCGGCGGCTAAATTAGCAAATATCTGTGTCAGTAGCATCTCCTGTTACCACTGCTCTTGATCTTCGTTTTGCCTTTTGCCATCTCCTCCTACGAGAAAGATAAAGACGTGAAAATATCAAAGATATATCAGCTGATAAGCCAGCTAACAAAAGAGTCAGCTAACTGTTAAAGACATTTTTCTCGGAACAAATGTATTAGCTAGCTAACAAACGTAAACTTTGCTTACTCAATGAGAAAACGTACAGATAATCGGAGCACCGATTAAATGTGTCTGCTTACATTAAGTAATAAAAATATGGGGATTAAATAACTCCTGTGACAAAGTGACGACTTTTTTCAGCTGACTTTTTTTTCCCACGGGGACATACATCCACCCACCAGATGCACGGACCGTGTGCTTACGTTTTACGTCAGTGATGGACGTGTTTCGTCAACACTTGAAGCTGATTTCAAAAGCAACTCAGTTCTCAAAGACACGCAGATGTTTCCAGCCTGGTACAAAAACGTTTCGTGGCACTTTCCCCATTTCACAAAAGTTGTATTGAAGTATTTTTTTTTAATATAACTTATCCATCTGGATTCAAATAAGGCCTGAAGTAAAGGGCTTTTGTTAGCAGTGGTGTTCCCAGAATCTTAAAACACTGGACTTTCAATCTAACAGATAACAGCACAATAATAGCACCTTTTAAAATGTAATTTATATATTTTATAGTAAACTGAATACTAAATGTCAAACACTTTCTTCCTAAAGCTTAAAGTCTCACAATTATTTTTTTAAGCAACAGAAGTAAAACCTTAAGAAAAAAAGTAAAAATGTTTAGTTCAGTTTTTAAAGTCAGTTTAAAGTAGAAGCTCTGAGACAAAGACCAGTACTGGCCTTCTACTTCCATTGTGCCATAATGGTCCCTTTTACTGTTTTTTAACTCTCACGTCTGTCTTGTATTTTGGAAGCTCACCTCTTCTTCATCTTTCCTGCTCTTTTGCTTATCAATCTGCTGCACTCTTAATATCCTCTTTCTTCCCGTGAGGAGTTTGAATATTCTCTCTATGTTCTTTTGGATTTTTCTCTGGGTATTTCAAATTTTTTCCAATATCCAGAAATATGCACCTGACTGAAAATTCTAAATCACCCACCTGATTTGGCTACTAATTTCAAAATAAATCTGATCATCTGAATATTAAACCAATGCTTATATGTGATTTTCTCTAAAATATGAATTGGATTGCAGGAAATCTAATTGACCAATAGATGGTGGCAAAATCATAGATGAACAAAACAGTTACTAGTTTGTGCTTGAAGATAACATTTAATAATATATACTACTAAGAACTACTCAGTAGATTTGACATGAAAGTTTAATATCTCTAGATGAAGGAGCAAAAAACTCTTTTGATGTTGGGCTCACAGGTGATGAAACTGTACAAGTAAAGTAGGGAGTAAACTTTTTTTCCCTTGTTTTTGGAAGTAGGCCTACTGCTTAATTTAATATTCATTTAATATTACTATATTGTCAGTGATGTACTTATGAGAGTAAAATAAGATCAGAACCTGCTTATCCTGCTGTAATTTCTGCACACAGCTCCACTGATGTGACCATACCATTTTGTGAGGGGCATGCCTCACCCCTGCTCTCACTCCTCAGCACCAAAAACTCAAAGATAGTAAAAATCTATCCAGGTGGCATCCCAGCATCCCACAGAGTAGTAGTTATTTTTCTTTTTTAAATCCATAACTCCACCTGAGTTTAATGCTATCATTAGAAAAAGTGAATCAGAACTACTGAGCATTCTTACAAAGTGCTTTTTATTGCTTCATAGACTTCATATATGCTTCTGAAATTTTCAGATTGTGGTCCTTGTGGAAATGCTGATGTAGCTTCGGGGACAACGTTGATAGGAATTCTTATTATGTCATAAATTTAATGGGTCACTGGAAGCCTCCCACACTGACAGATGCATGGTTTCTCTCTTGTGTGGGTATGCCGTGTCTTCAGATTTGTTGACTGGGTAAAACTCTTTTCACACTCATCACAAGAGTCGTGTTTTTCTTCACTCAGGCTATACAGATGAATATTAAAATTGCATAAATGACTGAAGCTCTTCCAACGCTGGTCACAGACGTGTGGTTTATCTTCAGCTGAGCTGAGCTGATCCAGCTGTCCTTGAGTAAAATCCACCCCACTCTCATCAGGATGTTTGTCGGGGATGTTGCATGTCTGGTTCTATTGAGCAAAAAGAGATGGACAGAGTAACAACAATCTGAGAACATATTTGATTTCCTTTTTTTTTCAGTTGTAACATTTCATCAACTTTAATAATACTTTCTAATTAAAAATAATGAGATGTCCTGATGCAAATAATAATTTGAAAAATCAGAAGAGTGAAGTGGGGTGAGCTTTTTTGTCAGGTGTCCTTGTCAAGTACTCATCCATTTGTCCTTTTGCTCCTGAGTTATTATGTTGGATAATGACCACAACATTGTTACTCACTTTGTATGAGCACAGTTTGATAACAGTATGGCTTCATTTACGGTTTTAGCCAGAGCACTAACGTGGTTAACATCTAGCTCCTCCCACAAAGTGTTGAGCAAACATCATGCTAATTCCCCTCATGGATGCAAGAGAAACAATATTGAGTACATGTATACCAACACGCAGCTCAAACTGTCCGAAAGCTCTTCTCTGATTGGCTCATATGCTTCCCATTTTGGCTGTTGATAGGCACTTTGAGGTTAGAGGACCATTACAATAATATCAGTGGTTCTTTGATGCTATGTTTTCTCCCTATCTAATTTCTCAGGTTAAAGTGACTCATCTCTATCTGTGGTAGACTGTTTGCTGCTGGTGTTACTCTGCTCTTGTTCCACAAAACTCCTCCATCAGTGAATCAGCTCTGACGTACATCAAGATAACAAGTTAGATAAAGCTATCCAAATATAGCCATAAAAACTACAATGATAAGAATTAAGAGTTATTACCAAAATACATACATAAATAATCACATATTCACTTTTAAACATTAGCTTGAAAAAATAAATACTTGTAAGCAGCAATAAGAAAGATAGTAGGATGCCACTGGGATGACTGTAGATGTAATTTATAATCTGATCTCTGAGTGAGCAGCACAAGGATGTATACAGGGATACATGATACACAGTAACTTGTTTTAATGTAACCTTCCCTGTATTGATGTTCTAATTTAGTAGCAGATTGTTTTTACATACACAACAGAAAGGTTTCTGCCTATGTCATGCAAAAGAACAAATAGCAGTATATTATTATTATTATTATCAAGTGTGCTATGTATTTACAAAGAAAGCAGACTAACGCTCATGCTAGTGCAGTGAATTGTTATAATGTCATCCTTCATAACCTTTTCTTAAATAACATAAATTTATGATAAATTTTGAAAGGACAATGAAGAAAACGTGGCAGGTAGGAAATAATTAACTTTTAAATATTTATTTTGTTCCATCAACATATAGTAATATATTTGGTTTAGACTCTTTCTGATTAGCATGCTGTTAAACAACACATGAACAACAATTCAACAGTTTTAAAATATGTTGAGTAAGCAAATAAGGCTTCCAGTTCAAATGAATCCTAGAATATTTGAGTTATAAATAAATATACAAAGATGTTAATGGATGTACCTCATCGAGGTATACACACTATTACATAATGATGCATTTCTTGATGCCTAATTACAAAAAACAACAACAACAAACACAAAAACACTTTTTCGCTCTGCAATCACACTCCCTAAGCACTTCCGGGATCGATTTGCCCTGCATGAATCACGTGAGACGTGACTCTCCATTCAACGGCTCTGGTCTAGCCGTAAAGTGCAATGCTCGTTGCTATTGGAGACGCAATATAGGAAGTAAATTCCACTGTCTGCGAATCTTGTTTTGGGAACTCGAAAAGAAGGCAGAAATATATCTGTCACGGTAGATCTGGTCTGCTGTTCCTCATTTGGATCCGATTTTAACCGTCGACCCGTGTGGCTGTAACGCTAACGTTTAACTCCGTTAATCTAAGCAGGTAAACAGCCCGTGTGAAGCTGTGGGTCTAGCTATTAGCTGAGATAAATATAGAAGCTAACTGCATATTAGATCATAGAAGTTGTTTGATTTATTACGCCACATTGCCCTTGAGGCTGATAGTGAAGTGTACCGACTCAGGTGTACTAAGTAATCATTATTTATGTATATTTTACTCCAAGGAGTCAGAGTTGTACTTGTTTTAACTTTATTCTATATCTATTAGTTTCCCTTTTGGGGTAATTTACTGTCATCCTGTTTGTGCGTTCACTTTTAGGTATTAAAAGTCAATGAGTCGCAGTCGCAACCCACCTCCTCGGGGTCAAGGGGCGGCCCGAGCCAAACAGGTAATTACCCTGCCTGTCTGATAACTGTAAACTTTACGTGTGGCAAGCAGGCAGGACTCTGAAGCCGTTTCTCCTATCTGTCTGTCTGTGTCACAGATGGGGCTGCTCCTTGACCTGTCTCCCGATGGCGGCATGGATGATGAGGGAAATGATGATGAGCTGGAGGCAGAGTTGCTCAATCTGGTGGGAGGAAGGAAGGAAGGAAGAGCACAAGGGAAGAAAGGTGATGGGAGAGGTGAGGATGACACACTTCTGGCACATTAAGCCTTCTTTCTTTCTCATTCATGTGCTAATGTTTAAACTGACCTTTTCCTTATATCACAAAGAGCAGTTGACATTATGTTCATATGTTTGCCTCTTCTGTTCAGCTCCTGTTCCCATGGCTGAAATTGAGCGAATGGCAGCTCTGTGTATGAAAGATATAGATGATGACGACATGGGGGACGATGATTTGGATGATGAAGATCTGTTGGTAATGGACACAAACAGACACAAACGTAAGCGTTTCAGGGACTAAACAGTTAACTGACATTTTCCTTTCTGCACATAGGCAGAACTGAATGATGTTTTGGAGGATGATGAGGAGCATACTCCTGCTCCAACTCCACCTGCCGCTACACCAACAGCTCCTAAAACTAGTGTCGCCTCACACCCCTCACCTCCTGCTGCTCCCAGTGGTGCAACTGGGTTGGAGTCACGGCTCCTCGAGCGTATTGAAATGTATCAGACTGCCATTTCCAACGCCAAGGCTGCAGGCGAGACTAGCAAAGTTCGAAGATATGAACGCGGGCTGAAGGTAAAGCAAATAGGCAGAAACGCATCTTATAGGATGTGAAGTCTTGTGTACATACTTTTGTCTTTATTTAGAGTCTTCAAGTTTTCATTTACTGCTCAGATCAAGCTTTATGTTTATGGGTTTTTTTCTTCCACCTTAGACTCTACAGTCCATGCTAACATCTGCCAAGAAAGGAAAACCAGTCAGTGAAGAAGAGATGCCTCCACCTGTTGCTCTCGGCGGAAAGTCGGATTCCCCAGCCCAGCCTGAAGTGGTTAAAGAACGAGAGGTGCCCAAGCCTGTGCTGGTCCCTCCCCCTCCCACCAATCAGAAACCTCTGAGGGAAGCTGACCCGACACCTCTGAACACTAAGCCAACGCGTTTGATCCCTCCCCAAAAGCAAGCTGCTGCCATGACTCCGGAAACACCTGCTATCTCTCCCCTCACACCCAGCCAGCCTAATGCTCATCACTCAGGTAAACACATTATGTGAATTATACTGTTTATTAGAAGAGTATAAAAGTAAATACACGGTCATAGTGCAAGTTAATCAGATTAGCATCGTACTCAAAAGAATTAATTAATATTTGGTCATTTAAATAATTGCACTAAACAACACTGCATAAAAGATTAATTTGCGTTGTTTTTCTTTCCTTCTGCAGATCTTTACTTCTGTTTCAGTTTGAGAGAAGCTTTCTTTCCTTTATTAAGATTAAAATACATGTGGGATTTTTTTCACTTCTGATCAGAGAGTACATTTTCTCTAGCTTCTGTGATTGACGACACCTTTTTAATAAATGCCTCACAATGTGATCTCACAGCAAAACGGTTCTTGGTTCAGATCCCCTGGTCAGTGGCTTTTCTGCGCGCAGTTTGCATGAATGCTTTTGTCTCCTTGCTCCCACCGTCAGACATACAGTACATGCTCAGTTAATGAGTGACTCTAAACTGGCTGTAGGTGTGGATGACAGTGTGTTGTCTATCTCTTCGAGTTAGCCCTGTGATTGCACCACTCTACCTCTCAGTCCTGTAGCAGCTGGGATAGGTTTTAGCTCTTCCATGACCCTTATTTTGATAAGCGGTTAAAGAGATCGATGGACGCTTAACTGACAACATACATTATAATTTATGCTGCTCTGACAAGTAGCGTGTCTGCTAACTAAATGTTACTGTAATGCTTGCCCTCACATGACTATGTCTTCTTCATGCAGAGGCGAAACAGGCAGTGTTGACCAGACAGAGGGATTATAAGATGGCTGCCATACACGCCAAACAGAGCGGTAACATTGACCAGGCCAAACAGCACTACCTCACTGCCAAGGTAACACAGCTGATGTTAGCCAGGGCTTTGGAGTAAGAGTGTGTGTGTGGTTGTAGTGTGAGGATTTTTCATAGTTTGTTTTAACAACGCTGCTCTTGATTTATGCAGAACTTCGATGTGATACTGGAGGCACTGGACCGGGGCGAACCAGTAGACCTGAGCTCACTGCCTCCTCCACCTGGTCAGTGGTTAAAGGAGAATGTTAGTTTTAAATGCTCATTCATGCACTCACTATAGTGCTAACAGTTTCCTTTAATAAAATTAAATTATTGCCCATTTAAATAAAATAATTTTGCTTAAAAAACGTCCAGTTTATAAGCTCCACTCTAACACACGTCATCTGTACTTAATTGAGTTATGTTATGTATGTTCATGTCACATATTTGTTTCTGCACATGTGCCAGAGTCTCACTCAGATGTTGCTTGTTCTCTGGCTGGTCTTGTTGAGGCACAGTAAAAATTGAGAAAGTGTAAGAACATTAGCGCCAATCACACAAGCATCATTTAAAACATTTTTATATTTATTCAGCTGCAAAGTGCTTTCCAAGTAATGGAGATGTAAAAGAGTTTCAGAGACTAATTCACAACAAAAACTATAAAAACAACTCTGATGATTAAGGACTGTATATTAAAAACATCTGTTTCACTGTAATACTTGAGAGCAAGAGTTACATCATCAAGTCTTTGGATAAAGTTCAATCGTATATTTTTTGGTCCAGAAACTTCTCGGCCACGGCCTCTATATTGTACCAAAAAACGGTCTTGGATTTGATAATCATGTTCAAACGGGGTTTAATGTGTACTTCATAATTAGTTACAATCATAACCTGTGTCCACTTCTCCACCGTCTGCAGGAGACGTAATAACAGAGCAAAGTGCGCCTCCTCAGTCTTCTTCTAAACCTGACCCCCCTGCTGCTCCTGCTGCTCCTGCTGCTCCTGCTGCTCCTGCGCCCTCCCAGGTGGCCACTGCGGGTAAGATTCCAGGAGTCCCAGTCCTTCACTTTAACCAAAAAGTGTGATGAAGTGATTTTAAATAAAAAAAGTCATGTTAAAATAATAATGTACGTTACTTTGTGTTTGTGCCTTCTGTAGATCTGCCTGCTCCCAAAAGTTTGGCTGAAGCCCTGCAGCAGAGGTTGGATATATACAAGTCAGCAGCAGAGGGAGCTAAGAGCAAAGGGGACGATCGCAAGGCCCGGATGCATCAGCGCATTATGAAGGTACACAACACAAATATTGTGGCA